GGTTTTTGGTTTTTCTCCGGTACCGGGAACCGAACTCACGACCTTGCGCTTGCCAGGCAGGCGCTTTTGCCGCTGAGCTAAATCCCCAGCCCCCTTCTCAGACCAATCTTTATCGTGCACTGTCCCAGGCGAGCCAGCGCTATGTGATCTGTGGCCTGTCATGCCTCTCCGCTAAGATGAGAGTGAACTGTTACAGGGTGCTGGGGAAAATTTAATGAGGGCAGTGGCTGCTGAGGATCGTGTGTGTGTGTGTGTGTGTGTGTGTGTGTGTGTGTGTCTGGTGGTGGACATTGAACCCAGGGCCTCTTCATTGTAGAAGTACATCTTGCGCCGCTGGAGCTCCAGGGCCTCTACACTGAGTTAAATCCCCAACTCTTTTTTTTAATTTTCGAGACAGTACCTCGCCAAGCGGCTAAGGTGCACAGGCTGGTCTTGAACTTGGGATTCTGTCTTCCCTCTGCCTCCCAGAGTCCTGGGATTACAGGCCAGGCAAAACTTCAGCCTTTTTTTTTTTTAATTGAACAAGATTAGATGTGGGACTGGCTTCAGGAGGGTGACCCTTCACCCCCACTTGTCATCCTCACCTCCATTTGTCATTTGTCATGCTCTGACAGTGCTCCTCCCAGAAGGAGCCTCGGTCCTGGCTTCCGCAGGCTTCCCTCCCTCACTCCTGGGTGCCACCTGCCTGGCTCACCCTTCCCTGTGTAGAGCGAGGGAGGCCAGGGCTCGGATGGCAGCGTGTTAAGGGCATGAGCTTTGGATTCACACAGGTTTGAATCCAGGCATGACCACGTGTCCAAGCCTCGAGGCCCTTATCTCTACACGGAGGAAAAGAATATCCCAGCTTTGAGCCGGGGATTAAGAGAGATTCTCTCTGTGAAGCAAGCCCTGACACCAGCCCTGGCCCGTGACTGTTGTCCTGTACCTGGTAGCTGCTATCAGGCAGGGGGCCTCTTCCAGGGAGAAAAGAGGCTTTGGCACATAAAACAGAGACAGGCGAAAGGGAGGCAGGCCACAGCTACAGAAGGAAGGAAGGGTTTAAGGGGCAAATCTCCAGCAGGGATCACCCTAGTCAACAACTGAAGACTAATTTTTGGAGAGAAAGGGGGCGGGGGAGGAGAGAGAGAAAGAGAAAGAACTCAAATACGACATGGATTGGTAGCCTTGAGGCCAGTCTGGAGAATGTCACCCACTTCCCAGCACCAGCGTGGCCCTAAGAGCCTCACAGTCACATAGTAGCAGGTGGGTTTCTCCAGGGCGACAGGAGAGACTGATGTCATCTTCTGGCCCCCACGGAGCCGAACGCTCTGGTATCCCTTCATTCAAACCTCTCTGCCCTTCCTCGCACTTCTCCTCCTGAAGCTGGTGGCCTCCTGCCTCCTGTCCTTGTCCTTGAATCTCTGGTTTTTTTTTTTTTTTTGGTTTTTGGTTTTTCTCCGGTACCGGGAACCGAACTCACAACCTTGCGCTTGCCAGGCAGGCACTTTGCCGCTGAGCTAAATCCCCAGCCCCTCTTGTCCTTGAATCTCCAACTTCCTCTGCCTGTCCAGCCCCCAACCTCCCCGGTCCGTCACCCTCTACACAGCTCCTCAGCCGCACAAATGCCTGACATATAAAATATAGTCTTTAGCCAAACAGAAGGGCTCCTCAGATAGCATGTGGGTGAGCTGGTGGGAGGAGGGAGCCTCAGCTTATCCCGACACGGAAATAATAGAGGTTCCTGATGGAATGAAATGGCTTTGTTTGGATGGTGCTTTCACAGGACCCTGGGGTAGCCGCGGAGAACAGACACTTGCTGAGACCCTTTCCCTCCGAGCCCTCCCTCCCTGCTCCTCCTTAATCTGCTGGCTGCACCTCCCCAGACACATCTTTCTTTTCTGTGACCAGGAGACCAAACTCCCTGCCTCCTTACCTGTCCCCCATCTACCCTCTCTCATTCTCCTGCCCTTAGTGAGGGTTACGTGGGATCTTGTCTGCTGGGAGCATTGAAAGGTAGGCTTAAGGTCTCAGCAGCAGACTAGGATTGGAAGAGGGACAAGAGTTCAGAAACTGTGGTTTCTTTGTCCTCCTCCTTCCCCCTACTCCCCTCTCTTTTCTTCCTCCTCCTTTGCTGGGTGTTGAGCCCAGGGCCTTGTGCATGCTAGGCAAGTGCTCTATGACTAAGCTACATCCCTAGCCCTTAGAACCTTCTGGTAATATTTACCCTGGGAATGTTAGAGGCTGGGCTGATCTTTATCTCTGTCTTTGTCTATCTCTGTCCTGGGGATTGAACAAATGAACCCAGGGCCTTGGGCATGATAAGCATCTGCTTTACCACAGAGCTACACCTTGCCCTCTTTCCACTGCTCCTGGTACCATCACATCTGCTTTGGCATGGGGAGGGTTGGTGGCATCTCCCACGGCTAGAACCCTGGGTTCTCTCTTGCTTCTCCTGGATGATAATATCACTGAGACTTCTCTCTAATGTGTAAATGGTTCCCTGAAATTCACTATCCCGTTCATAGCCACTTCTTGATTTAGAGAAACTGCTACCTCCATTTTATAGATGAGAAAACTGAGGCCCAGTGATGGAAAGGCACAGCCTGTAGTGCACTGGGACCTTTGAGCAAGATATGTAAGCTCAGCTATGCAGCTGGCTTTAACAATTTACGTGCAAACAAGACAGCCCTTGAATTTACTGGCTGGACTTGCCTGCTGCAGACATTAGCTCCGTTGCCCCTTCTCTATGCTAATTTTTTACTTTATTGCAGTGCTGGGGATCTACCTCAGGGCCTCTGTATGCCAGCAAGCATTTTACACCACGCTATATCCCTCTCACCCTTTTGCTTACTTTGTAGTGTGCTGAATTTAGATTTAACATTTTATGCTCAGTATCTTTGTGACTCCTTGCCACCTCTGTGGAATGGGTAGGGGAGGTGTCACCCCGTCTTGATCGAGCCCCGCAGAGCTGACCAAAGTAGGCACAGACTGCCACAGAGGAACAAAGGACTTACTGAGGTGGAACATGACGTCCTTGTAGGACACAGGTTGGCCCTGCCACCATGGCAGAGCCTCGACCCTGATAAAGACTGCTCTTCCTCATGCCAGCAATTTTGTTAATTAACTGCTCCTGTTTCCCATTAGCTGGGAGCATAATGGCCAACTGACAGATGGACGGGTCCAGACAGAAGGGGGAATCCAGACAAAGGGTCTGCCCTCTCCTGTTCATCCACTCAGCTGGCTTGCTGGGCCACCGTTGGGGGTAGGAACAGAGATGAGTCAGGCCTGGAGTCACCCCTTCAACACCTTCTGGTGCAGGACAGAAAGTGGTATGGTGCCTCTCATGATGATTGCTAACTCAGGCGTCAAGCAGTAGCCTGAACACTATGTATTTGTCCGGTTTAGTCATACAGTGCGTGGAATGAGCCTATGACACAGGGACCAGCATTAATATGTCCCTACTGTAGCTATAGTGAGGCACAGAGGTCTCACTATGTATAAAATTAGGTAATTTGGGAAAATTCTAGAATTTGTTCACTCTGTGTTAGGATAGCTTCTGAGTATTATTTTCCATAAATACTCTCTTAATGATTTTGTTATGTTATAGAACTATGAAAACAAGTTTTTGAGGTACTGGGGATTAAACCCAGTCCTTGCACACTAAGCTACACCCCAGCCCCCCCCCTTTTTTTTTTTTTTTTGGTTTTTCTCCAGTACCGGGAACCGAACTCATGACCTTGCGCTTACCAGGCAGGCGCTTTTGCCGCTGAGCTAAATCCCCAGCCCCCCAGCCCCTTTTTTAAATTTTTATTTTTGACATGAGTTCTTGCTAAGTTTCCCAGACTTGGCTAACATTTTTCTTAAATGTTGTTTCTTGGATTGAATTAAAAAAATTGATGACAGCCATGAAGAGTGGAGGAAACATTATACGCGCTCTGAAGAAAAGAGTTTTCATATTCAGGCATGCTAGTGCATACTTGTAATCCCAGCACTCAGGAGGCTGAGGCAGGAGGATTACTGTGAATTTGAGGACAGCCTGGGCGACATAGTGCGTTCAAGGCCAGCTCAAGGCCACTACATAGAGAGACCTTGTCTCAAAAAACAAAACCAAAACCAGAAGAAAACAAAACAAAACAAAACAAAAAAGCCAAAAAAAGAGTCTTCTTTTATCCCAGAGAGAGGGAAACCAGCAGCATGATTTTTAGAAGTGACCTTGACTCAGGGGTGTATTTGAACACGTGTGGAAGGGGCTGGGGTATTTTGGGCTGAGAGTCCAGGATGAGCAAAGGCTGGATGTGGAAACACCCAGGCAGCAGGCGAACTGCAAGCAGGTCATGCTTCTGTGTGCTGTGGGGTGTGGGAGACTGGGCTGGGTCCCCAGGGTGGGCATGACAGGAAAGAAACCCACATTTGATCTCATGGATGCTGAGAAACCAGAGAGGGTTTCTGTGGCACATGACAACTCTCCACATCCAAGTCATCTCCAGAATCAAAAGCTTGTCTGTTCTCAACGTCCCTGGAATCTTACTCCTCTTTCACCCCTAATCCCATTAGAGCACCAGCTGCACCCTTAATGCCCCGAACTTTCACTCAACAGATCCATCTTCAAAGGAGAAAGTGCCCGAACACTTCCTGGTCCTAGTCTGCCTTCTCTCACAAACGTTCCACTGGCTCCCATCCTCTCTGGGAGGGTGTCTGGACAGGGCAGCAGTGTGGTGTTCGGGTGGGTCAGAAAGGAGACGATTACGAGAGACTGTCACTCGAACCAGCCAGTTAAACTAAGGAAGAAGGATGACCCCTGAGGACAGAGCGCTTTGAGAATGTTCTAAAGCCACATGAGCTGCTATAGTCCAAACCCCGCAGCTGGGATCCAGACCTTGAACTTAGAGGTTTGGACGGGTGGGACATATGTCTTCCCACCACGCACAGCTAATAAGTGGGCTAAGAAACGGAAGACCCGGTTGGATGGCAGGTCCACCCACGACAAGGCACACACCGGAAGCGCCGCTACAGCTGCCCTGCCTCTACCCTTCAGCTCTCTGCGGCCGGCCTTGATTTCAGCACCACAGACAGCTCCCCAGCTTTGCGCATGGGCGGTAGCCTACCTCTTCATCTTGCTGCAGTCCTTTGCTTGCAATATGGAGTTTTGTTTTTTCGTGTTTTTTTCCACCCTCCCCTGGGGTGGGTACTGGGGTTTGAACCCAGGACTTAACGCTGAGCTGTATCCTCAGCTCTTTTTTTTTTTTTTTTTTTTTTTCATTTTTATTTCAAGGCAGGGTCTTGCTAAATTGCTAAATTGCCCAGGCTGGATTTGAACTTGGAATTCTCCTGCTACAGCTTCCCAGATTTCTGGGATTACAGGCATAAATCTCCATGCCTAGATGCTTGGGGTGCTAATTTTATACGATATTAAGCTGCCTGAACTAAAAGAAGTCTTCTGGTTCAACCCTTTTACTGCATAAATAAGGAAATGGAGGCTTTGGGGAAAACTGGGCAAGCCACAGTATTCTAGGATCCAAGGATCCAAGTAAACAAAGCTGATAAAGGTCCTCATGCAGCTGACATTCCAAGGGGATCCAGGACCCTGCTAAGCCTCCAGAACATCTTGTCAAATTTCCCTGACCATTGGATTTCCCCGACTATTGAGTCTTCCAGCCACAGCTTATTCCACGGAGCCCTGCGTGACTGACCTCTGTCTGTGCCCATCAGTTCCTCCTCTGAGCATGCGGGGGACCTGAAGACAGCATCACTCAAGTGGCTGTGCTGCTGCTTCTTGTGGGGGTTTTCAGTGAGTCCTGGTTGCAGGTTATAGGTTTGTGCTTCCATCTGGAGAGCAGGGACCACCTCCTTCTCTCCTCTGTCCGTGGCATATTTCCCAATAGGTTCTGGCTTTCAGATACGTCTTTCACTCATTTGTTCATTCATTCAAGTAAAGAGGAGATCAAAACTAACAGAAAAGCCTGAGAGTCCCATGCTAACAAAGGAGCGTTCCAGCTGGGAATGGCTGTGGTCCCCCAGGGAGAACAGGAGAGGGAAGCCTGGGCCAGAGAAGACCTGGGGACACGCAGGACCTTGGGGGAAGCTGAAGAAAGGGCTTCATGTTTTTTTTTTTTTTTTTTTTGGTACTGGGAATTGAACTCAGGACCTTGTCCTAGCCAGGCAAGCACTTGTACCGCTGAGGTATATCCCTGGCCCAACTTAAAGTAACAGTGTTCACCATAGATTTCTAATTCTCTCTCTATATATATTTTTGGTACTGGGAATCAAACTCAGGACCTTGCACTTGCCAGGCAGGTGCTGATGCCACTGAGTTATATCCCTGGCCCAGGGCTGCGTGTTGAAAGCCAGGAGGGAAAGTGGGCTTCCAGGGTGGAAAGACACATGCCGGAGAGAGGCCAGGGCCTGCAGAGAAGCCACGGGGAAGGTGGAGAGGGCTCAGGAGGCTGTGGCCTGAGAGTTCTCGGAGCGGTGGAGGAGAAGCCAGATCTCCATGGCTCACAGAAGCAGACAGTGAGTGCTGCACACCCTTTGTAGGAGTGGAAGAAAAATGTGGCGTGGAAGCTGGAGGAGGAGACAGAGCTGAGAGAGACAGAGAGATGCTTTCTTTAGGGGAGGAACAGGAGAGGGAAGAAGTGTGGACTTGAGCTGGAGAGAGGTCCCTGTCATTGCAGACCCCGAGAAGATGGAAAAGGTAGAATCTGCTCACAGTAGATGGGAGAGTGAGGGGTGGGCACTTTTCCAGGGAAACCCCAGGGCTGTTTGAGCGAGCAGGTCAGAAAGCCAGGCCCTCCTTGGTCTGGGGTGGTATAGGTAGCAAGCTGGGGTGAGTCTGGTGGTCAGCAGGATGGGGAAGGGAGGAGAAGTGCAGGCCATGCCTTTGTGGGGAGCTAGCCAGGTCTCCAAAGTGGGGGCTTAGTGCAGGAGCTGTGGAGGGGTGCTGGAAGGCTGAAGAAGCACTGATGGTGGCCAGCCCTGGACCCTCACTTTGGGTCCAAAGAAGCAGAATGACCTGTCAGGCCGAGCCTGGATCCCTGAGGTCACCTCTGAGGCCCCACCAAGCTTGAGGCTGTTTTTGATTTGCTCTTCCTCTGGCCAGAGAGATGAGGTTTATTAGGGGTGCTTGGATAATACACAGTCCTGACACCTCAGGATTACAGAAGGGCCTCAGAGGGGGCTTCCTCTTTCCCCGTGGAGATTTATCTCTTCCTCATGCTGCTGGTTCTTAAGGGGACCACAACAGGACACTCACTTGGAAGGTTATTTATTTATTTATTTATTTATTTTCTGAGACAGGGTCTCTCTATGTAGTTCAGGCTGGTCTTGAACTTACTATATAGCACAGGCTGGCTTAGAGCTCACAGAAATCCTCCTGTCTCAGCTTCCCAAGTGCTGGGATCACAGGCCTGTACCACCATGCATGGCTTTTTATTGGCTTGTTTTTGTAGGGTAAAAGTGGACAGGGGCTTGGGGCCTCAGCAAGATGCCTGCTCCCCAAACTAGTCCCACTCCTGAGAAAAAGACCAACAGCCTTTGCCCTGATCTCACTCAAAATCAGTTTTACTTCCAGCCAGAGAAGCATGGGATATGGGTGCTAGGGGAAATGGAGGCTGAGCAAGGGGAAGACCCTGTGAGTGGATCCAGCAGCACCACAGCCTGCCAGGCATGGGGCTGGGCCCGCCCTCCAGCACTGGCTCCTGCAGACACAGCCCGCAGCCTCTGCTAACGCAGCCTGCACCGTTCTCTGCTTGGTTGTGAGTGGTGCCCAGCTCTCCTCTGATCCGAGGCAAAATCGACCTCTCTGTAACTTCCCTGTTTGACCAAAACCCACCAGGAGACTCAGAGCTCCTTGCTGCTCTGGTCCTGTGACGGGTGGCAGAGATGTGCTCTCCACGGGGCCCACATCCTCTTTCCCTGCCAAGTCTGTGCTGTGGCAGCAATAACACTGGTGCGTGCATTTCTGCCTTCCATGCCTCTGGAGCCCACGGTATAGGTGGGGATAGCTGAGGCCCAGAGGGGCTTGTCTAGCATCACACTGCCAGCGAGTGATAAAGTTGAGGTTAGGGCATTTCTGAAGTTTCCTGATTTGCAGCCCAGAGCTGTGATCTAGGTGCTTCCCCAGCCCTTCCCATCTCTGAGCCATAGAAAGAACATGTGGTGGGCACCAGGAAGCCCTTGGTGATGCCAAGATGCCCCTGTTTTGTGCCCCCGGGGCCAGTTCCAGCCCATGCTTTCTTCTCCTCCTCCTCTTCCTCCCCTGCCCCAGCCACCTGACAGCCCTGCTGAGCAGGCCCCTCCCTGCCCACACCCGGAGACACTCACACGTGGGCCCCAGGCCGGTCCTCCCTGGTGAGGACTCCCTCCTTCTCCATCAGCATCTGCCGGAAGGTCCCGACCTTCTGCTGAATCTCCTCCTCTGAGTACCTGTGGGCACAGTAAGTGAGAAGGCTGCTGTCCTGGGCTCAGATCTCTCCTACGTGACCTGACTGAGTCCAGCCCAGCCCAGTCCAGCCCTCCACCCCCCGTCATAAGCACAGACTCTGGATTGCTATAACTTGCCTGAGGTTATAGAACCCAGCCAGGCCCTGGCATTGAGGAAGCTCAAGGGCTGTCCATTTCACAGCAGACCAGTCCGTCCACCCACCCACCCACCCACCAACCAGAGGAACAAAAGGTAGAGTCAAGCAGAGTGCAGTCCTAGGCTTCTCGTGGCATTCGTCGTCCCTGCTACTTGGGAGGCTGATGCAGGATGATCTCTCTGAGCCCAGGAGTTGGGGAGAGATAAACCAGGTGTGGCTGAGTCCCTCTTTCTTGCTAGCATCAACCCTGGACAGGCTCTCCTACTGCTCTCTCTTTCTCCAGTACTGGGGATCAAACCCAGGGCCTCTGCACTGAGCCCCGTCCCCAGCCCCTTTTTATTTTCACTTTGCTTTGGGATAAGCTCTTTCTAAGTTGCTAAACTGCACAGGCTAGGCAACTTGTGCTCCTGCTGCTTCAGCCTCCCAGAGTGCTGGGATTCCAGGCCCGGGTCAACTGGGCCAGCTCCAGATGTCTCAAGACATTTTTCGGGAGGAGTGAGAACCCTGGCTTTGAAGCAGAAGTGGTCTTTTCTGCTTTCCCGCTTCACTGATGTGTGATCCTCACAGCAGCCTTGGGAGGTCCTCAGAGCATCGGCGCCTTGGCAAGCTCCATGCTGCCAGGTGGCTCGCCCTCTGCCGCTGGCCTGGGGGTGGGTGGGTGAAGTCCAGACCTCAGATGTGAGCTTTCAACTCCTCTGCTCTGTCCTTCCCCCGCTATGCCTGGTCTCAGAGAAGGGGCACAGAGCTGCCGGCACCCCACTCCTGCCACCGCGCTGCGGGTCATTATCCTTTCTCACTGTGGCACTGTGACAGCTACTTTCCTGGTGTGCCAGTCCCTCCAGTGCCGCACCCCCTGCCCCGCCCCTAGGGCCCTTCGCACACACAGCCTTTCCCTGTGCCTGACGCACACAGGTGTCCAGTAGCTCTTGTTAAAAGGTGCCCTTCCCCCAGGCTGCCGGCACTGTCCTGGACAGAAGAATGATGCCAGAATGGGGTCAGTGGGGGGTGTCCTCTCTTGTTTCTGCATTGTTCACCTTCCACAGCACATCCAGCCTTTCCTGCTGAGTCTATCCATGAAAATGATACATCATTTTTTTGGGGGGCAACTCATCTCTTTTCTCCCTTCTCTTTCTTTTCCTTTACTCTTTCAACAAACATTTACAGGAGAGAAAATCAGCATTTTTTTTTCTTTTTTTTTCTTTTTTTTTTTTTTTTTGAGACAGGGTCTTGCTAACATAGTTCAGACTGGCCTCAAACCCACAGCAACCCTCCTGCCTCAGCCTCTCAAGTGCTGGGATTATAGGCATGCACCATAACACCCAGAGGCAATTCTTTTCAAAAGCCTTAATTAAAAAACACATCCTTTGGCTCATAAACTAACTTCCAGATTTATCCTGTGGAAATAATCATGGTGAAAGCACAAAGCCTGGCCTTATTGGATGTAGACAGCAAGACGGATACCTCTGACTAGGTCTGATGCCAGCATTTGTGTTTCCATAGCAACCTGTACCTCCTGGATCCTGGCAGGTGGTTCATGCTCTAGTAATTATCTGTTGACTCCTCTGTATCCTGCACTGGCCCAGAGTTCCCTGAGGGCAGGAGCCTTCTGTTGGGTTCACTGTGGCATCCCCAGTGACTGGCATCCACATTGTGGCATCCAGAAATTTTTTGACAAATGACTGCCTGGCAATGGAGAGGCACTGGAGAATTTGAAGGTTGGATTTCCATTTTGGAAAGATGGCTCTGGCTGGTGTGTGGCTGGAGAGGGGGGACTTGGGGGCAGGGAGGCTGGCACGGGGCTTTGGTGGGGTTGAGGTAGGAGCTGGTGAGTCAGAGCCAGAGAGTGGCCCTGAGAAATGAGGGGAAGAAATGGACAAGACCAGCCGGGAGGAACAATGCTGGGGTGTGGGGACCATTGGGCCATGTGGGGATTTGGGTGGGAGCCCCAGTTACTTCTTAGCCTGGTGTCCCTGCGTCCTGATTCTTTGCAGGTTCAGCCTCCTGTGCAGCTAGTGTTACCAAGCTCTGGGCCCTGGCTTATCACGGTCCCCTCAGTCCCTGCTTAGCCTCTGCCCTGGGCCTCCCCTTGGCCACTGCCGGCCTGGCTGCTTTTTGGGTGGTGCAGAGCCCTCAGTCTGCTGGCCTGGCCCATGCCCAAGTAGAGCAGCAGAGGGCTGGGCAGCTGCTCCTGCGTCACCTTCTCCTGGGGACACTAGCTTGTCACTGCCACCTGCACAGAGACAAACAGCACAGGCCCTTTAACAGCCCTCAGCCCTGAGAGGACGACCAGCCACTGGGTCACCTGGGTGGGGCCCTGGCCCAGGAGAGGCTGGAATAGAGATAGCTGAGAGCGAGGCTGGGTCCGTACCCAGCAGCGTGGGAGCGGCCACAGGCCAGGGTGCTGGCCGAGCTTAGGTGTTCGTGGGGTGCATGGCTAGGTAGGAGCAAAGCCCAAGGATCACAATTTTGAGCCCAGCCTGGGCGGTTTAGTTAGAACTTACCTCAAAATTAAAAATGGGCTGAGGATGTAGCTCAGTTTGGGATGCCCTGTGTTCAATCCCTAGTACTGGTGGGAAAAAGTAACTGCAGCTCATACGCAGTGGACAAGGGCTGGTCCCAGTCAGCAGGTCTCAGGGAAGTTGTCAAACTCCGGCATCTGCCTGTTGAGGGTGGAGCTGCTGGATGACCAAGAGGTTGGGGAGACCACCTCTGCTCCCAGGTACCTTTCCTCTCCTCTCCTCTCCTCTCCTCTCCTCTCCTCTCCTCTCCTCTCCTCTCCTCTCCTCCCCTCTCCCTTCCCCTCCCCCTCCTCTCCCCTCCTGCCTCCTCTCTCCTCCCTCCTCCCCTTCCATTCTTCTTTCTTTTCTTTTTTTTTTTTTTTTTTTTTTTTTTTTTTTTTTGTCCTTTTGAGACAGGGTCTCACTATGCAGTTCAGGCTGGCCTTGAGCTCACTTTGTAGCCCAGGCTGGCTTTGAACTCACAAAACGATCCTCCTGCCTCAGCCTCCTGAGTGCTGGGATTACAGCCATGGGCCACCACGCCTGCTTTTCTTTCTTTTCTTTCTTTCTTTCTTTCTTTCTTTCTTTCTTTCTTTCTTTCTTTCTTTCTTTCTTTCTTTCTTTCTCTCTCTCTCTTTCTTTTACCCTCTCTCCCTCCTTTCCTTCTCTTCTTCTTTTCTTCCTTCCCTCCTCTCCATTCTTTCCCTCCTTCCTTTCTCTGTGGTACTGAGGATTGAACCCAGATTTTTTTGCCCTAAGCTACATCCTCAGCAATTTTTAAAAAATATTATTATTTTTTGAGACAGGGTCTTGCTAAGTTGCCAAGTTGCCCAGGTTGGGCTTAATGACTGAGTGACATTTTCAAAACAAAAAAATAAAAAGGGTTGGGGATGCAGCTCAGGGCAAAGGCCCCGGGTTCAACTCCTCCCCCTCAAAAGCCTCAGGCTCAAAGTCAAGATCGTGCCAGGCATCAGGGTGGGAGGAGGAATAGGGAAGGTCCTGGTATTCGTTTCAGCGCCAGATGCCCAGCCCCAGTGTTCCCCATCTACTTCGCCCCCATTGCCCAGGAGGGAAAGGGCTGGCAAAACTCATTTTGCCTCGTGGGACTTGGCTCACTCCCTGGGGCGGGGGTGGGGCAGAGGGAGCACTGCTTTTGAAAAGGTCCCTGGAAGGGAAATACTCCATCTTGCCTGCCTGCCTAGACAAAAGTACTTTCGAGATAATCTCCTAGGGCAGTGATGGCAGACCTTTTAGAGCTTTCAATGATGCAAACAGCCTTCTGTGGCACACATGTCATAGGTTCGCCATGACTGTCCTAGAGGGACAGCGACCTTACGCTCATCTTACAGAAGAGCAACAGGGAGAGGAGAAGGCTCCGGGCTCCAACCCTGGCTAGGGGCAGAGCTGTGCCCTGTCCCTCAGCCCCATGGGTGATGGCCGCCTGTGTGCAGAGGCTGCCTAGGAAGGTGACTTCAGGTGCCACATCAATTACCAATGAATTAGGTAGCTCTCCATCAATATTAAGGTGAAGGATTGCTTTTTTTTTAATCTTTTTGAAACAGGGTCTTGCTATGCAGTTCAGGTTGGCCTTGAGCTCACTTTGTAGCCCAGGCTGGTGTCAAACTTGTGACAATCCTCCTGCCTCAGCCTCCCCAGTGCTGGGATTACAGGTGTGCGGCACCACGCCCGGCAAGGATTGCTTTTTAATGGGACCCGAGAGTGTGTGTTCCTGTGACTGCTGGGAATATTTGTCAAATGCCTGAGAATCTGGTAAATAAACGTGAACCAACCAATGTTTTTAGAAATGATATTAACAACTAGAGTTTGTAAAGGAGCCAAGGTCTCTGGTGTTTATAGAGCACTCTGTGGGAACTGGCCCGGGTGTGACTTGGTCCTTCAGAGCCACCCTGGAAGGCAGTGTCCCCATTGTGCAGGTGAGGAACTGTGGTTTAACCAAGGTCACATTACAGCTGTGAGCCTGGATCATAGTGTTGAAGAGTGGCTGGCTATACCCCACAGACCAGACAGCTGCTGAGGGGCGGGGAGCCTGTGTGTGTGTGGGTAACCCCGTTGCTAGTTTTTTTTATCCCATCTAAGGATAGGCTGGAGAAGAGAACCTGGGGAGGTCCAGTAGCTGCCTCCCAGAGAGGCAGGTCTTCGATGCTGGGAGTCTAACCTCAAAGAGGCGATCCTGCACTGCCGCTTCCTGCTGCGGCTCCGTGAAGGCGGGGTCCTGGGGCTTCAGTGAAAGGGTGAGCAGGAAAGGGCAGAGGCTGGTCCTTGCCCATCTCTGTGTATTCTCCTGCTTCCTGCCCACACTCCCCCTTCCCTCTCAGGGACGCCCAGCACAGCAGGGTTGGCAGGTTCCATGAAGATCCTGGGGTTCTCTCTGCTCTCCCCCAGCTCTGCCCTGGGACCTTATTTCCTCCTCTGAAACCCACAGCCCATCAAATGCTTTCACTGCTGGCTGGAGGTCGCCTTGCCGTTTGCCCTTAGCACTCTCCCACAGCCATGCCTCTCTGTAGGGAGTCTTGCTGCCTCTACCTGGTCTCTGGGTTCCTTTCTTCTCCCTATAGGTGGCCCTGCCCATGGCCAGCTTAGATGCTGGATCTAGGCTCAGCCCTGGGCCCGCTTCCTTATGACCTTCTGGAAGTGCTGTGTCTTTCTTCTCCCTGAGCTCTACAGAGATGCTGGCCCATGTCTTAGGGTCCAGGGGGCCTGGTGACAGCACCGGGGTGAGTTGAAAGGATTCTGCTGGCCACAGGCTGCCTGGCCTCTATGGGGCTCCAGACCCCATCCCAGGCAAAGGCTGCTTCCGGGCAGGTCCTGTTCTCCGCTTTGATTCCCACGGCAGCCGGCCCACTCATTCCGGGACACTCAGGGCAGGTGCAAAGGGGGTCCTGGGACCCCCTCTTCCCCTGGAGTGGCACAAATGGGGATGGCACTGTTCTCTGCTTTGCCTCCAACTCCATGAGCGAGGGGACGTGGCAGCGGTGGGGTCCCTAAACCTCTACAGCCTGATGCATGGATTGTGTGGCTGGAGACGCCCCAGGCCGCTGCTTCTCACTGGGACAAACTCCTACCCATGCTCAGGGCCTACACAAATGTTCTCTCTTCCCCCACATTTCAGAATCTCTCCTACGAGCTCCTGAAGCGCTCACCTGTCCTGTTCTTCAGCCGTGATTCTAACCTGTTTTTTGACAAGTGTTAACACGCTTTCGAAACTCTTAGCTAGTGTGTGTTCCAGGGGGTCTTCAGGGACAGGAAGTGACTTAAACTGGGCTCTCAGCTCAGCAGGTGACTCCTTTGGTTACAGTCAGCCCTGGCATATAGTGAGGGCCCCTGTGGACTTTTTTTTTTTTTTTTTTTTTTATCTTTTTGAGACAGTGTATCAATATGCAGCTCAGGCTGGCCTTGAGCTCACTTTGTAGCCCAGGCTTGTCTCGAACTCGCAACGATCCTCCTGCCTCAGCCTTCCGAGTGCTGGGATTACAGGCGTGCGCCACCACGCCTGGCTCCCTGTGGACTCTTGTAGGGTTGTAGTGTTGGCAGGTCAGCTCCATTCACTCATTACAAAGATGGGGACACTGAGGCCTTGAGTTGTGGTTGGTTTTGTCAGGCTTCTTCTCCCCATGGAGCTGGACGTTTTTTTTTTTTTTTTTTTTGGTTTTTCTCCGGTACCGGGAACCGAACTCACGACCTTGCGCTTGCCAGGCAGGCGCTTTTGCCGCTGAGCTAAATCCCCAGCCCCGAGCTGGACGTTTTTGAAGGGAGGGGATTGTGTTTCTTTAGCTCCTGAAAATCAAAGCCTGGGAGCCTGACAGAGAGCAGGGGTTCAAAGACCGCTTGTGAATAAAGGTTAAATAAACTATGAATGAATGAAAGGTGGGCTGAATTTTCAGTGGTTCCGCCCAGCTGGTCCAGAACTCGCCCCTTGCCTGGACCAGTTTCCTGGGTCTCCCGGGTCTCCTCATTCTGCTCAAACCACGCCCGCCAGAGGATCCGACCACGCCCACAGACCACGCCCACAGACCACGCCCACACCAGAACTACCCCGCCACGCCCCCTCGCTCACCCCTGCTCCTCCATCATCTCCTGCAGCTCCATGCACTTGAGCTCCACGCGCCGCTTGCGCTCGTGGTCCAGGATTTCGCGGTGTGCGCGCTTCACCAGGCCCGGCTCCGCGGCACGCAGCTCCTCCTCCGGCCGCGGCCAGGCCCCGGAAGAGGCGCCGGGCTGCGGGAAGCCGTTGGCGGCGTCGGGCGGGGACGGCATGCCAGCAGCCCCGTTGTTCACGGTGGAGGACATGGCAGCTGGCCCGCAACGCCGGCCCTGCGGGACAGACACGGAGTGGAGGCGGGAGGGTCACTTCCTGGCCACCCGCTAAGCTCCTCTCTGCGCGAGCTAATCCTGGAGCTCCCAAGGGCCCCTCCTGGCTCTAATTCGCTTCCTCTCAGGCAGCGGGCTGGGGGGGGTGCAGGTGACAGGTCTGAACCTCGGGTCACACCTCAGCTCAGAAAGCAGATGGATCCTGGGATCCTCAGTCCACTCGAGTTCCCCAGCCAACCAAGGCCTGTTTGGAATTTTGTTGGTTTTATTTACATCCTTTTCCTTCAGGCACCTCCCTCCCGATTGTCTTGGTTCTGTCCCAGTGGGGTCACAGATAACAGGTGTTTGTACCTTTGAGTCTGCACCCAGGCCCGCCCTGTAAAGCTAGGCAGTTGGGGCTATCTCCAAGTTCCACTCCCTTCCTCCTGGATACTGTTTTCATTTCCCATTTCGACCTAACTTCTCCAAAGCCAGCCTTCCAGTTGGGGTAGGTGGGGGGTCTCACCCACATTGAGGCCCAGAGAACTGTCCCCTCCTTTGTTGTCGAAACATTGCTTCTAATGATGTGACCAAGAGTAACACTACATTAACTCTCCAGGCAGCCACATCCTCCTGTAGGCTTGGGTGCAGTGGTGCTAAGAAGCCCTGGCTCTATTAGGTCCAAAGTAGAGCAGGCACCTTACACACACACACACACACACACACACACACACACACACACACACCAAGGGCCTCTATCTTAGAAGAGGGGAGGCACCTCCTGAGCTATTTATTTCCTTTTCCCTTCTCCAAGTCTCTGCTAGTTGCTAAGCAACAGGGAGGCCTCATTCCCAGGGAGTGGGGTGGGAGGGAGGAAGGGGAGGAAGGCAGTAGAAAGAAGGGACTGGGTCTGCCCAATGGGGTCTTCCCCCCAGCACTCGCCCCAGCATCACCAGCGCACCCTCCCCTCACTCAGAGTGATGGGGTAGGGAGCGATCAGAGCCACAGGAACTGGGAGGCAGAGAGGAGGACAGCGAGGGACCACTGAAGAGGCGTTGAAGGGGACAGTGTAATGAAGACACACGCTCCTCTCAGCTCCTTCCTCCAAGTTCCAGGCCCCAGAGTTCTTGGCCAGGCTCTTCAAGCCCTTGCTGTGTGACCCTGAGGATGTCACTGCCCCTCTCTGATCCCTGCCTGTGCTTGGGAGCATCATCCAGACGCCTCAGCTGAGGGAGGCTTCTGGGGGCTGAGAGACCGCAGCTGTCCCTCTAACCTACCCTCTTCAGCTCTGTCCTTGCACCCCACTTCCAACAGGGCTTCTCCTGGGACACCCCACAGGCATCACCCACTTGCTGTGCCCCAACCCAAGCTCTGGGAGCTCAGCTCCCCTCGCACCTTGGCCACAGTGCCTGGCTGCGGGCTACCCCTCTATCTGCTGCTCACCCGAGCAGGGACGGGCTTGCAGGCTGGAGCTGTCATCGCCTCTGCCTGCTGCCTCAGTGTCCCGCCTGGCCTTGCTGCCCTCAGACTGCCGTCCTGTATCAGCAACCTGGCCGATCAGCCCAGGAGCACACCAGACTGTGTCGCGCCCTGAGTCTACCCCAGTGACTTCCGGTCACCTTGGCTTGGCGTTGTGATACGGTGCGGCCTCCCGGGCTGGCCTCAGCCCTGCCGCTCCAGTCCTCCCCCTGTCTCGGCCCAGCCCGGTCTGCTTGCTGCTGCTTCTTCTCCCAGGATGCTCTTCACCTGGCTCCAGCTGTCCTCAGAGGCACCCCTTGAAGGCATCATCACCTTCCAGAAGCCCCCCTCACACTCACCCCTGGCCACGAGCTCTCCCCACTTCCGCCAGCACCGCCGGTTTGCGGTCTGGCTCCCCTGGGCGGAGGGGAGTTTAGATTTCAACTCTAGCGGCAGCCAAGTGCCCAACACACACGGAGATCAGCACACGGGAACTGAACCAATCAGAGAATTACAAGGGGAGGCGAATGGAGGAACACAGGGCCAAGTCAGCGCGGCCCCAGGGCCCTTTTGCTGTCTGCCTTCTGCCATGTCGAAATGTCACCCTCCACCACCTTTTTTCCCAGAGCTGGGATAGCACCCAGGGCCTCAGGCATGCCAGGCAAGCACTTGCCACAGAGCAGCCCTCCAGTCCCGACTTCAACCCTTGTCCCGCCCCACCCTGAGCCAACCTCCAGCCCCCCATCTTTCCCACCATAGCTCCCCTTGGCTGGGATTTCTTTCTTTCTCCTCGTCTCCACTGAAGGAGCTTCAGAATCCCTCAGGGCTCAGCCCGGAAGTTACCTCCTCTGGGATGTCTTCCCTCTTTCAGGAAGTTTGATTCATTCCCTCTTGGTGTCCCCATAGCTTCCCCTCCCCCTTTAGTACTGGAGGTTGAAGCCAGAGCATCTGTGCTCAGCCACATCCCCTGCCATGTTTCTTATTTTGAGTTAGTGTCTCCTTGAGTCACTAAACTGCCCGGATGGCAGCTGCCCTTGAACTTGAAATCCTCCTGCCTCAGCCTCCCAGAGTAGTATGAGTGCCACCATGCCAGGCTTCTTTTTTTTTTTTTTTTTTTTTGGTCTTGGTTTTTCTCCGGTACCGGGAACCGAACTCACGACCTTGTGCTTGCCAGGCAGGCGCTTTGCCACTGAGCTAAATCCCCAGCCCCCATGCCAGGCTTCTCACACCTTCTGCCCACATCTCTGATAGGACATTTAGATCCCTAGGTTCAGTTTATTTGCATCTAACTCTGGTTCCTGACTGTGAGTCCTTTTTTTTTTTTTTTTGGTTTTTCTCCGGTACCGGGAACCGAACTCACGACCTTGCGCTTGCCGGGCAGGCGCTTTGCCACTGAGCTAAATCCCCAGCCCCTGACTGTGAGTCCTTTAAGAGGAAGGGCTCAGCCATGGCTTATTCCAGCCCCTCCAAGCCGACCCCAGCACCTGCAACACTGAGGCACTCTGTGTGTGAAGAGGGTGCTGAGGCTCTGGCCCTTGAAGCTGCTCGCCACATCTTCCCTCTGACCCCACCTACAACTTAGCCCTTGCTCCCAGAGAGCAGGAGGGAAATCTGGGGGAATATTCTGAATGCACTCGAATTTCCAAACTGGGTGCAAGTCTATTCTCAGCTGGAGGAGAGGCCAGGTGACTTTGCCGGGCTGCTGAGCGTGATCTCGCTAATCTGAGGGCCAGGGAGTGTGGTGTGAGGACACCAGGGGCGGGTGCAGTCTGGATCTGACCTAGGACAGGCACTGTCCACATATTTCACCAGCTGCGGTACAGAGGTGCCAGGCTGGACTCTGAAGCAAGGTGAACAGATGACCCCTGGGCCCTAACAGTGGCCAGTGTGTGCCCAGTCCACTGCCTCCCAGGGCGGGGAAGCTGGCTGGGGGTCCCTGCAGGCACAGGGTGTCTCTGTGAGGCGTCACGGTGAGGCTTCACAAGGAGGAGGAGGCCCTGGGCTGAGAGACGCAAATACAGGCACAGAATCCCTAAACTCCAAATCCAAAGTCCCAAATGCTCCAGAATCTGAAGCTTTCGGGCTGCGGGTATAGCTCAGTGGCCTAAGCGCTTGCCTGGTAAGTCTGAGGTCATGAGTTCGATTCCTGGTACAAAAAACAAAACAAAACAAAACAAAAAAACAAGATCTGAAGCTTTCTGAGTCCTGACACAACTCCACAGTGCAAAAGTCCATGCTTGGCCTCATGAAACGGGTCTCAGGCAAAGCACAAGGGCATTAAAATAGTTTAAAATTACTTGCAGGAGGTATGTATAAAACGTAATTGAATTTCATGTTTAGACTTGAGGTCCCATCCCCAAGACGCCTGTCTCTCTCTGTGTCTGTACTGGGGATTGCACCCAGGGCCTTTCATGGAGCTACATCCCCAGCCATTTTTTTTTTTTTTGATTTCGAGACAGAGTCTTGCTAAGTCACTAAGTTGCCCGCCTGGGCTTAAACGTGTGATCCTCAAGCCTCAGCCCGCCAGAGTGTGGGGATCACAGGCATGTGCCACCATGCCCAGCGACACTGCGTTATATGTATGCAAATATCCCCAGATCTGCACACCTTTGAGATGAGAGACACTTCTGAACTCAAGTGTTTTGGATAAGGGATACTCAACCTGAATCTCTCTTTCTCTCTATCGCTCTCTCTCTTTTTTTTTTCGTCTTTTTGAGACAGTGTCTCACTATGCGGTTCAGGCTGGCATTGAGCTCACTTTGTAGCCCAGGCTGGCCTTGAACTTGCAAAGGATCACTGTGAGTTCAAGGCCAGCCTGGGCTACATAGTGAGCTTAGGGCCAGCCTCCTGAGTGCTGGGATTACAGGCGTGCGCCATCACACCCGGCACTCTCTCTTTTATTTTTTTGGTGCTGCTGGGGATAGAACCCCAGGCCTTGTGCACGTAAAGCAAGAGCTCTACCACTGGACCACATCCTCAGCCCCTCTCAACCTGAACCTTTTACTACTGTAACTGGCTGATAGAGGGACCTAATGCAAGAGAAGCAGATTCAGACGCAAGTATTTAGTGGAGGACCACGGGGCTCTGTCCTTGCCCGTGTCTGGGCCAATACGTTGACTGGTTGGAGCAGTCATAACCTAAGATCAGATCTGCTGAGGACACAGTCAGGGAGAGCTCATAAATTTACAGCCACAATCCAAAAGGACTCAACAGATGGAAAAAATGGAAAGACTCTAAGAAGATGGAAAAGGACAGTGAGAAATGGCGCATGCTGCAGCTGGGTCCCAGAGTAACTTTCTAAAATTGGGATGGAGTAGACATAGTCTAGAAGTCGTATATTTAGGAAGGATTTAGGGATTTTCAACGATCACAGACTCAATTTGAGTCAATATAAGGAAGTGGCTGCCAGAAAAGCACATTATCTTCAGCTCCATCAGCAAAAATACCATGCCTGGAAGGAGGAGATTATAAGAATATACAGGTGGTCAGAATCTCTATCTTCAAAAATTTGAAGGATGATAGAGGATTTAGGTCAAGGCTGGTTGAAATATTTTTTTCCTGTACTG